TCTCTCTCTCTTCTCTCTCTCTCTCTCTCTCTCTCTCTCTCTCTCTCTCTCTCTCTTTCTCTCTCCTTCTTTCAACAGACTCGTGATTTTTGTGACAAGTATTATCTCACCTCTTACCCCTGAGTCGCGGAGACTGGAATGCTGCCGTAGTTGTAGTAATAGCATCTTGTTTGCTCGCAGATAAAGTCCTTCACGAGGGTGCAATCCTGCGCCTCCCATGCTAACGTAGGTGCTACCATCGCGACGCATCCGTCCGCGCTGCCGCTGTCGCCGCTGAAATCGAGAGACTTGCCTTTTGGAATTTAAACGAGAAACTACTTATTTTGTCATTAGTTGTATCATGCAAGAATTTCCGCTTGTTAGAGAACGAATTGCGGAAGAGAGCGGCGGACAATCATGTTGTTCTTCTGACGAGGGTCGAATAGCAAGCGGTGTCTTTTGACCGCGAAAAATATGATGAAATTGATTTTTCAATCGGCTATTTTTAATCTTCAATGGTATTAATTGTCAGTGAAATTATTTTTATTGGTTTTTTCTTTTTTTCTTTTTTTTTTTTTACACAATTTGGCAGTAGGATCAAAGATGTTACCTTTCGCGCGCCACCCTTTGAGGTTCAGTGCCAGGTGGTACATCGGCGGGTCTGTTACCAGGTCGCTTCAGCATGTAGTCGAAGGTGACGTTAAACGGCAATCCCGTGCTCATCCACAAAAACATGTCGGTACCCAGCTTGTTGCCCGAGGTCCAAAAGTCGTATTTCGTATAACCGGCGTTCTTCAGATATTGCGTCATCGTGTCAGCCTTCTCTTTCGTTTCGAAAGACGCCAACTGGAGGCCTAACGAGCGGCAATATTGATACGCCAGGAAGTAATTGAGTTCCGGACTGTAGGGATTCATTCGCGACACGAAGTACTGTATGCCATCCAGCTGGATCGTCGTGATCCTCTGGGCTGTGAACCAAACATTCGTATATTTTCTTTAAGCTGTGTCTCATTTTTTTAAAACTGTGCTGCGACTGTATTCACGCAATTGTAGCACGTGCGAAATTAGAACAAATTAGTTGATATCATTCTCGCCATACGTTGTATATATATGTGTGCTTGGCCATTAAATTAACGCACGCAAAATAATAACAATTATATTAACTAAAGAATTGTTAATCTTGTAATAAAACAAATGTACAAATTTAGTCTCTTGTAATCATAATATTGCAATTATGATATTCTTATTAAATTAGTCTCTCATTATATTTTTATTTGTTATGATTATAATTGAAATGAGAAAGATTTTCACTTTAATTAAACATATTTTATTGATTAAAAACGATATTTTTTGGACAGTCTTGTACGTTATCGAAGTACGTGCTTGTCGTTGAGTTCCGACAATGCCGCAAATGGGACCCGGAAAAATGCGTTCAGTGAATATTAATGCAGTATTCCATTTTAGTATTGTAATAATCAACGCTCGCTAGCGAGAACCGTTATTAGTATTAAAATGTTCGTACCTTTCCAATACCTTCCAATAAAATTGAAACGTATCAAAATCCAGATTTGGGCATTTATAATAATCTCTCTCTAAGTCACGATAAACATTTCGACAACGCAAAAAAAGATCGTTCGAATTTATATGTTAAGAAACGTCATCTTCATCTTATATGCGATAATGATAGGGACGAGATCGAAGCGATTATTTCAGCATCGTCTACTTCATAATACGATTTTAATTTCACTCTAAATGCGTACCCTGACGCAGCGCGTTTTTAGCCGGCTTCACAATGACTCGAAGCTTTATGACAAGGACAGTGTTCACACGATATATCAAGTTGCGGGTTCATTGAACCGCGACGGCTATTTGGTTAACTGTACTTATGAATTATGATGTGTCGAGAGATCTCCGAATAGCCCCTAGGTAAACGAATGTCGTAATGCAAGTCTTTCTCATCGTTCTTAATCGCGATTATTCTCCATTTTATAAATTATGTCTTTACAAAAGCTGTTGCGAATAAGCTGTGGCGACGATAAAACAATTGATTTTTTAAATTTTAAATCTGAATATTTAAGAAAGAAAAGGAAAGAAAGGTAACAGAAACAAAAACTCTAATTATACATTTGAGATGCATAAGTCGAGATATTTCTTGATTTTCTCATGTAAGACAGTTACGAAACAAAGAGAGGTTTCGGTGCAAGAAGAAAAAGAATCTATCCTGTATGTACAGCCACAGACGACATTTAAAAGACTCGGTAATTAACGAGATCGAAATGAAAGGTTTAAGTCCAGATGGAGGAAGAGCGATGTGAAAAGATCATAATATAATTTGCTTGTTTAATTTTTGGAAAGAAAAAAAAGAAAAAAAACAAAATGATCGGGGAACCTCTTTGTTACGCCATTCCCGAAGAATCCTTGCGAGAATCGAAGCGAATCTCAAGGAAGACTAATTTCGCGAGGACGCGAATCGTGTCGTCGACGGGCGACGAAGCAAGACGATCGGCGAAAGATACTTCCGTTGAAGTTGGGCCGGTTGAAGTCTAGTCACGGCTCTGGATACTTCGTAGAGGCGCATCCGGAGCAAAAACGTTCCGGATCGTGAAGTTGGATGTGCAGGTGGTGGTAAATGACCCGAAGGCCTTGAGACGTCTGCCGCCGGTGTGTGCGCGCGTGAAAGAAGAGGCGACTAGCCGCTTTAACTACAGCTTCGTTCACGTAACGCATTCCCGCCGTTCGGCTAATGATACTCGACGAGATTCCCGGTCCAAGGAACGAGTCCACATACATGAATGCTGCGCTCGAACCTCTATAAACGGTCTCGGTAAACGTTCATCCGCATAATTATAATTTCTCTTTCTCTTTCCTCTATTTTTAATGGCCGCGAGCAGTGAGGCTTTGAACAGCCGTCGTATGCAGGGCGATTTCTTCGTTTGTAACGTCATTAACTTGTTGAGATTCCGAAGTAAATTGCATATAAATGCAAGTGAAACTTATTCCTTTTGGTACATTGAATATTTTGTTAAAAAGGGGTGGACAATTTTTCTTTTAGTGTTTCTTATAATTATCTTTATTACGGTTTAAAGGTATTTTTCTGTCAAATTTTAATTTTTAGTAGATTAAATACGAATTGTAAATATGAATCTGCATTATAATGGGTGGAATTCTGAAAGAACAGAAACTCTGAAGAGGCGCGATATGTACTCGGAACGCTAAGTCCCTTGCGTGTTCTACCAACGGTTATTTCCGGTCTCAACTTTGAATGTGCTAACAGTTGGTGCAGGACTTTTTTAATGACAGAAAAATGCGTGTCTTGGAAATGTGGAGTATTATAGAAAAGTTTTGAAATATGAGAGTATGTTCAACGAGAAGAAAATATGAATTGAGACTTAGAAAAATGGAGACTTAGGAAATTAGAAATCTCAAATATAACAATTGGCTGATTCAGAAAGAGATATATATTTGTTAATACGTTTTTCAAATCTCTCTTCTCAACGTCACGAAATATTCATAATGAATTATGTAATCAAATAAGTAAAAAAAAAAATTTGAACAATTCAGTTAGATAAAATTTGAGATTTCCTCAAGATTTTATAATTTCATCTTTTTTTTTTGTAATTGTAACATTTTCTTCGTCGTCAAAATGAATGATTATGCTATTTTCACGAATAACACTGCGCACCGAGTGAACGGTCAGAAGACCGTGCAAGAGATGCCGATGGTCGGGCGGAAGAGTGTATCAGCACGTCCATGATGAAGTCAAGAGAACAATCATTTCATAATAATGAAGACGTCACCGCGGGTATTAAAACGGGCACGAACGGGCTGGCATTGTGTCGCGGTGTAAAAGGGTACTAACCTGAAGCGAAGGCCGCGACGACGAAGAGCAACAGGATGATCTTCATGTTAGCCGATTACTATGTTGGCTGTGCGGCGATCAAGCAGTCAGTCGTTTCCGTTTCCGATTCTCTTCTCGCTCTCTTTCTCTCTTTCTCTCGGAATACACCGAATGTTAGTGTTAGGGTCGCGTTCTCGGACTGGCCTCGCGCTGCGCCGTGGGCCCCCTTAAGAATCCTCTGCCCGGATCCCAGAGGAGGGGGTCGTTGAAGATGATTCACTGGCTAACCTAGAGCAGGAGCTCAACGTACGAAGGGGACGGCAGTGGCGGTGGAGGCGGAGGCAGCGGCAGCGGCGGCAGCGACGATGACGACGACGACGACGACGACGACGACGACGACAATGACGACACGAAGACAAATCGAAAAGTAATCGAGCCGTGCCATAAAAAACCGCGG